AGAAAGGAAGAAGGGAAGGGAAGAAGGAAGAAAAAAAGAAAGGGAGAGAAAAAAAAGAAAGAGGGAAGGAGGGGAGAGAGAAGAAAGGGAAGGGAAGAAAAGGAAGAAAAAAGAAAGGATAGAGAGAGAAAGAAAGAAAGGAGGGGGGAGAGAGGAAGAGAGAAGAAAGGAAGGAAAGAATTCAAGGAAAGAAAGAAAAAAGAAAAAGGAAGAGAGAAAGAAAAAAGGGAAGGAGGGAAGAGAGAAGAAAGGAAAGGGAAGAAAAGGAAGAAAAAAGAAAGGATAGAGAGAGAAAGAAAGAAAGGAGGGAGGGAGAGAGGAAGAGAGAAGGAAGGAAGGAAAGAATTCAAGGAAAGAAAGAAAAAAGAAAAAGGAAGAGAAAGAAAAAAGGGAAGGAGGGAAGAGAGAAGAAAGGAAAGGGAAGAAAAGGAAGAAAAAAGAAAGGATAGAGAGAGAGAAAGAAGGAAAGGAGGGAGGGAGAGAGGAAGAGAGAAGAAAGGAAGGAAAGAATTCAAGGAAAGAAAGAAAAAAGAAAAAGAGAGAAAGAAAGAAAAAAAGGGAAGGAGGGAAGAGAGAAGGAAAGGGAAGAAAAGGAAGAAAAAAGAAAAGATAGAGAGAGAGAAAGAAAGGAGGGAGGGAGAGAGGAAGAGAGAAGAAAGGAAGGAAAGAATTCAAGGAAAGAAAAAAGAAAAGAAAGGAAAACGAAAGAAAGGATAAAAACTCACATTAGGCTTTATTGCACCTGTCGCCGGACACAAAGATCCTGCAAAGCCCCTTCCCTCCTAAACAATGCACAACAACAACCCCCCTCCTCGCCCTGATTCCCCATCCCTGCAGCCGCCCGTTCACACGTTCCCGCCGCCCCGCTTGCAAAAAGGCCGCGGCGGCGGCGCCGGTTGCAAAACTCGCATTGCGCAATCAACCCGTGGGAAGCCTCCCGAGGGGCGGGGGGGGGGGCAGGAGAAGCCGGGGACGCGCATGCGCCTTGGCCCACGCGCCTGCCTGGGACTTCTTCCGGACTGTAGCTCAGGTGAGCCGAGGGCGCATGTGCGTCCTTCCCCAGGACAGAGGTGGAGGGGGGGGGGGCCAGGAGGAATAGACGCCCCCTTCCCTGTTTTTTTTGTCTCTCTGCAAGGAAGGGGATCTCTGGGGCGGGGGGGGGGTTCTTTTTTTAGGGGGAAGGAAAGGGGGGGGATGGAAACTTGCAAACAAAGGCAGAAAAAGAATAGGGTGTGTGTGGTGCATTTTGCTGAGCAAGAGAAGGGGGGAGTTATTTGCACCCCCTCCCTAGGAAATGCACTGCTTGTGCGGCTGAAAAGGTTCTGTAAGATTTGGGCTTCACCAATTAGAGGATATTTGCAGCTTAGGGCTGAATTGTGGGGTCCTTGGTGCTCTCTGAGCCGGGTGGTCTTCTCACAGACGTTTCATAACCCAACTAGGTAACATCATCAGTGTTAGAAGGGAGTGGGAAGGAGGAGGAGACTGTGGGGTCCTTGGTGCTCTCTGAGGTTGATGGTTTTCTCGCAGACGTTTCATGACCCAACTAGGGAACATCATCAGTGTTGCAAGGAAAAGGGATTTGCAAAGGAGAATAGCAATAGCAATAGCAGTTAGACTTATATACCGCTTCATAGGGCTTTCATCCCTCTCTAAGCGCTTTACAGAGTCGGCATATTGCCCCCAACAATCTGGGTCCTCATTTTACCCACCTCGGAAGGATGGAAGGCTGAGTCAACCCTGAGCCGGTGAGAT